GCAGTCTAGCCCAGATGTTATATAGCAACTTTAAAACACATCTGGGAGCCAGCAACTGAAATTCACTTACAAGTAACTTCTGTTTCTACATATTATTTCTGGAGATTCCACTATGGAATTATGGAAGTATACAGCAAATTACTATGTTAATTTTTTTCTTCTGCAGGGCTGGCATGTTTGTAAGTCTATTTTAAACTCACTCTTATTCACTAAAATTCAGTTAAGAGCAACATCTCTTTTGAAAAACGTACTGCTTTATACTCAGATTATATTATCACCAAACAGCTAATGTTAAACATGGACAGCAGAATAAAATCAAGTGAAATGATGCCTCTAAAAAGGACAAAACAAAACCAAAAATAAAAACAAGAAACAGAAAAAAAAAAAACCTGTTGATATTTCACAGTGAGATATCGCCTCACACCTGTTAGAATGGCTATTACCAAAAAGACAAGAGGTAAGTGCTGGAGAGGGTGTGGAGAAAAGGGAGCCCTCTTGCACTGTTGGTGGGAATGTAAATTGGTGCAGCCACTATGGAGAACAATATGGAGGTTCCTCAAAAAATTAAAAATAGAACTACCATATGATCCAACAATTCCAATTCTGGGAATATATCCGAAAAAAATGAAAATACTATCTCAAAGAGATATCTGCACTCCATGTACATTGCAGCATTATTCACAACATATGGAAACAACCTAAGTGTATATCAATGCGTGAATAGATAAAGAAAATGTTACATCCTAAGTGAAATAAGCCAGTCACGAAAAGACAAGTACTATATGATCTCACTGATATGTGGAATCTAAAAAAGCCAAACTCATAGAAACAGAGAGTAGACTGGTGGTTGCCAGGGGCTAAAGGGTGGGATGTTGGTCAAAGTGTACAAACCTCCAATTACAATATGAATAAGTTCTGGGGATCTAATGTATGGTGATTATGGTTAACAATACTGTATTGTATACTTGAAAGTTGCTGAGAGAACAGATTTAAACCACAAAAAAAAGTAATTATGTGAGGTGATAGATGTGTTAACTAACCTTATTATGGTAATCATTTTGCAACATATACACATATCAAATCATCACATTATACATCTTTAACAATGCTACATGTCAATTATACCTCAATAAAGCTGGAGAAAGGCGAAGTTTTGTTGATATTTCTTAGAACTCAAAGCTGCAGGACAAAACCTATTTCCACGTGTCACGAGTAAGCCAGGAATCACGGAACAACTGAAAAACTGGCAGCAGTCCCCTTAGGGGAAAGGATAGCATGTTTATGCTAATATCTGGTCCTTTACCAAACCCAAGTTTCCAGAACAGGCATTTCTGATCCCAAACGTGTACTCGATCTAATCATTAACACTGACACTACCATTATTTGAACTGGCTCTAGGGCATGAATTAAGACTGCGTACACCGTGAAGTTTACTCTTGCCGTAGGAAAGTAGATGTGAGTGGAATGGGGATCTTGAAATCCCCAGCATCACAGTTTGTATCCCTCAGCTCTTTTACTTGGCATAGATCTAAGAAGGAAACCTAAGGATGTGATGCAGAGTGAGGCAGATCTCAAATCTTAGTGAGTTTAAGAATTACCTGGAGGGACTTCCCCAGTGGCGCAGTGGTTAAGAATCCGCCTGCCAATGCAGGGGACACGGGTTCGAGCCCTGGTCTGGGAAGATCCCACATGCCGTGGAGCAACTAAGCCCGTGCGCTACAACTACTGAGCCTGCGCTCTAGAGCCCGCGAGCCACAACTACTGAGCCCGTGTGCCACAACTACTGAAGCCCACACGCCTAGAGCCCGTGCTCTGCAACAAGAGAAGCCACTGCAGTGAGAAGCCCGCGCACCACAATGAGAGTAGCCCCCGCTCGCCACAACCAGAGAAAGATCGCACGCAGCAACAAAGACCCAACGCAGTCAAAAATAAATAAATAAATAATTTTAAAAAAAAAAAAGAATTACCTGGAGAGGATGGTAAAAATGTAGGAGCTTAGGCTACAGGGATTCTGCACTCAACAAGTGGGGCCCAGGAATCTAAACTAGAGACTAAGTATCAGGTGCCTGGACCACACTTTGAGACAAACTGCTGCAGGACAACAGGAGTAGCCCACCCGCCACCACATCAAACATGAACGAAGCATTTACTCTAAGACTAGCAGGGGAGAGGGGCACTGGGGTTTAATAGGAATTAACTTTCTAAAAGCCTGGCCTGATTCAACCGCAAGTGTATAGCCAAGGACCCAGATATTGTGTGTGACAGATGGGATTTAACTAGGAACTCGTTGATGTTGTTTTCCTCTTTTCATCCAGATGTTGAGTTTCCTGTGAAAGAGTGACTGAGTGCCCATGGGCAGAGGAGTGTTCATTTCCCTTGAATTCTTACATGCCAACCGTAGCAGGATGGTCTTTGAGACCTGAGCTAGAATCTAAGAGGTTTTGCCACTTTAACCAGAGGGGCCTCAGCTGTCGGGACTGCAGAGGAAGCAAAACTGAATGCAGGAAGCAGGACATAGGATCTTAACGAACAATTTTTCCCTCTGACCCCGTACCACACTTACCACACCGAAACATATCTTGCTTCAGAAGTACACTGAGGATCAAACATACCTGTAGTAGCCCAGAAATAAGCTGTCTTATAGGCAGTTCCATTTTGCTGGCCATTGGGAAAAGAGGGCAAGGACTTTGATGATCTGTGGGCAAAATCAAACTGTCAGGATACCATATCTTAAACCGTTTTGCTCAATCCAGGTCACTCAACCTGAATATATGACAGATTTTATAGCGCTGTCATCTCATATGGAATCTGTTATCACTGTTGCTTGTTAGATAAATACAGATAAACTTTTGAAGATACTTTTGAAACTACGTTTTCGCTAGGGAGGCCCAGACATTAGCCCATCACTACCATAAAAAATGTCCTGCACATGTATTTTTAGAATCAGGGGTCACATTATTCTCCTCTCCAGCCCCTCACTAATATAACCTTAACAACAAATCATATTTACTTTTAAACACTCTGGTATGTAACCATGTCAACTAAATACACATTAGTCCAACTAACATAAGGAATTTTTCCCCTCAATGATTTCTCATTCCAAAGGTGCCCAGTAGAAATTAAAATGAGATTTTGTTTGTTTGTTTTAAATATGTTTTCCTCCTGGGACCCATGCAAGGGTGGTGGGCAGCTGACATCAGCTCCTGTTCCCAATGAGGGAGAAGCATCTAAGGCCAAGAGGATTTGCCCTTCTTCCTCCCAGGATGAAGATCCCTTCGAGACTTATTCTTGTGCTGGGAGCTCTCTCTGCATCCTTGTCATGTAGAGGCTTTCACTTATTTTCTTTCCCTTCCACATTCATAAGTTTATTGTCTGACCTGGGCAGTCATCTTTCCTCTCCAGCATTCTGAAGAAAGGAGTAAGAAGTGGTTGGTATGGGCACCACTGCACATTATTGTTCTAAAACTCACTTTAAAAAATATCTGAGCAAGAAGTTTGCCATATACAGCAGCCCCCCACCCCCAAAATGCTTTTTAAATGAAGGGGAAAAGCCCTGTTTTCCAAAGTTTTGCTGTGGTCATCCCCCAAAGCCAGAATGGCATCTTCTCCAAGTGAGAATGAGGGAATCCATTTCTTCATCCTGAATGCAAAGAGGAGTATATACTGAACTGAACAGGAGTAACTGCTCTCATTGATGGAGTACTTTCTCTGTGTCAGGTACCGTGCTATGCACTTTGCTTACTTTCCACACTGTAGATGTATTCATTTTTACTTTGTTTTTAATGAGATTCTCCATCATATAATCCCTGCTGTCTTGGACTCAACAGGCAGGTAACTCGGACAATAATACAAAGAGCATCCTGTTACACGTAGTAGGCACTCAATAATTATCTGTTGAAGAAACAAATAAACGGATAGAGGGACTGAATTAAGTCTATTCTTGAAAAATAAATTCTGTCTTTCTGAACACAGCCCCCAAACTTTGCCATTCATATTCCTCAAGGGACATCGCATTTAACTGAAGCCTTGATCCATGAACTGGTAAGTAGCTTTTATATCAAGTTTCTATTTTTAGAGATCCTCTTTCCACAAGTAGAAATGACATAAACCAAGATCATCTCCTTAGTTTATTTTTTTTCTAGAGTCCTTAGCATGCTACATTAACCTGACAAAGCTTAATCGTGTGTTCATTTCACAATACATTTCATGCAGTTCACAGCTGTGATTGGCTTTACAACTGACATTGACATTACACGTTTGGATTCAGCCATGTGAAAAGAATAATTCTTAATGGAGTTTGTCTCTGAAAACTGTCCAAGCTTAAATAAGCATGTGAGCAGTTCACTCTATTAAGTGCAGTCTCTCTTTAAAATGCAAGAAGGATTTTTAGCATAGGAGTATAAGGTCCCTGGTTATAGTCCGTTTGCAACCGAACCACTGCCTTTAGGTTTCACATATCCTAAGGAATCCTCTTTTACAAAATTTCATTCAAGGGGTTTCCCTGGTGGCGCAGTGGTTGGGAGTCCGCCTGCCGATGCAGGGTACATGGGTTTGTGCCCCGGTCTGGGAAGATCCCACATGCCGCAGAGCGGCTGGGCCTGTAAGCCATGGCCACTGAGCCTGCACGGCCGGAGCCTGTTGCTCCGCAACGGGAGGGGCCACCACAGTGAGAGGCCCGCGTACCACAAAAAAAAAAAAATTTCATTCAAGTATACTATTTTATTGAACATTCCAGGCTGAGTTTAGGGGCAAGGCTGACCTTCAGCTCTACATCCCCAAATAAATCTTCCATGGGCCCAAGGCTTTCCCAAGACTATTCTCTTTTACAACGAACATTCAGCACTAAAGCCACAGAGCAGAGCTATTTGGCATTTTCCAGTGAAGTGCAAGAAATTAAATAAGTTATGTTTTTATTGCTAAGGTATAGAATCAAGCACAGTCACTTTGTGAAACAGAAGGAAAAGTTATACACAGGATGTGGCCTCTCCTCAAGGCGGGGCCAGGGTTCAAATGCACAGGCAATGTCACCTGGTCACCACCCATCGGGTAGCACTTTAAGATGATGTGTTGAGTATTCTAGAGTCTGAGGAGTCAGACCTCTCGTCGTAGTCGTCCTCGGCGTAAATGGACTGCTTTGACACGATAGGACACCCATCGTCAGGGATGGGTATCCGAGGGTCTTCGGGGACGCGGGAGGGGAGGACAGGTGAGCTTCTGAAGACGCTGGTAGAGTTAGTGGGGAAAGGGCTGACGTACTGGGACCTCAGCTGGTACTGTTGCTGCAACGTCATGGTGTTCCACAGGGTGACATCATTGGGCAGAAAGGGGCTAGACTGGTTTCTCGCCAAAGTATTCCTCAGCATCAGAGGGTACCGGGGGTGCTGGGGGAACGGGTGCTGCAGGGGCACGGCCAGGGGGTTGGGGACCACGTTACTGGAGTCAGTGGAAAACCTCAACGTGTCTGGGACTCTGAAGGCCGAGCCCACGGACCATTTGGAAGAGGAGATGGGGTAGGAGCTCAAGGTGTGTTCAAAGATGTGCCCGCTGGAGGGCAGCACCAGGCCCTCGGGCTCTGCCGCAGTTCGGTCCGCGGCCAAGCTGGAGGTGCGGCTGGAGAGCAGGACCTCCACGGCGCTCACCAGGTCGCCCCCGCAGCCCTTCAGGATCAGCTCCAGCACCGTGGGCTTCTGGTTGGGGAATATTTTTTTTAACACTTCCAGGGGCGGTCTGTTGGCTTTCAAGCTGAAGGGCAGAGACACGGTCCCCGAGGGGCCCTCAATCAGGAGGTGATTCTGCTCCCCGGGGTACTTGGGGCTGTCGGGTCGGCTCTCGGAGCTGCCTCCGTTCTTCTGGACCGCGTACCCACCTTCGTCCACCGACACTATCTCGGGGCTCTCTGGCGTGAAGCAGCCCTTACTTTTGGCCACGTCCGGGGAGCTCCTCTGGTCCGTGTCTTTGTCACTGAAGGTCTCAGTGGTGTCCGCTGTGCTGCTGTCCCCGAGTCGTTCTTCAGTCAAATCTGAAAAGCAGAGAACAGCTGGGTTAATCCTTTCCTGGTGTGTGTAAAGGGGAACAGATGTGCTCAGGAGAGGGCCCTACATGGGCTTTCTGCAAGGGGAACTGCTTTCCTGTGGGTTATAACATACTGCAAGCCTTAAAAATATCCAAAGTGTGTCACTGGCAAACGGGAAAAAAATACCTGAAAATAAAGATCTAGAAATCGGAGTGATTTCTCAGAATGGTGTGTGCAGGAAAGCTTGCCTTCAACACAGAACGGAAACACGATACCCACAACCACAGATGGGGCTGTCTAGCACTAACAATCTAAATAGGGGCCAGGCTGGGGATAAACACCATCCAGGGAAGAACAGGAAAATGAACTCAGGCTTGTCTTCTGGCCCCTCTTCTGCAAATGAGGCGGCCGGTGTCATTCAAGGACATTAACAGCTGGTGCACGATGCATATACCCATGGGAAATTTTAATATTTTAAATCCATTTTCCCATAGGCAGATTTTGTGTCAAATGTCTTGTGAACTAGTCGTCAGTATGTTTCATCAGGATACCATGTACAATAACTAGTCGATATGACTGCCAAAGTGAAACGGGCAGCCTCTGTACATTGAAATTTTTCTTAAAAGCCCACTCAAGGTCCTGGCAGACTTGGTTGCCTATAACCCACACTAGAGGGTAAGCAAAACCAGCTGTGAAACCTGGATGTGGGACAGGCTACAGAGAGAAAGAAGGAAATGGCTGGAGAAGGCTTGTGAAACTGCCAGGGAGCAAGATCCACCAGTGAAGCAGTGCATCCATAACTCCAGGACCTGGGCTGCAAGAAGCAGACAGGTTTTCATGAACTGTTTCATTAGTAACGTTCATGGAGAGAACTTCAAGATACCTTCCTGAACTATATTAAAAGAAGAGAGAAACAAAACAGAACAAAAAGCTTCCCAAATAAAGCAGAGATTTGCCGTGAAGTAAACCAGTTGCAAATTTAACATTTTGACTTAAGACATCACCCCACCACAAGGGCTAGTATTACGGGCTAAACAGGCAGAAAGAAAGGAAGGAAGGAAGAAGTAAATAATAAGACTGGTCTGCTTGCAGAAGTAGGTTCTAAGAGATCTTAATAATAAAGAAACATATTCTTTATTAACAAGCTATATGCGAGTGGATTTTTATCCACTGCCCTGCCTGAATAGCCTCATTGTCGCCTTCTCAGTGGGCACACCTGATTATGTGTAGATAGCCAGCTGGTGAAATTTCATCAAAGCAACTTCTAAAATCCATCTCCTCCTATTTGTTGTTGTTGATTTTAAAACCCTTAAACAGGGACTTCCCTGGTGGCGCAGTGGTTAAGAATCCACCTGCCAATGCAGGGGACATGAGTTCGATCCCTAGTCCGGGAAGATCCCACACGCTGTGGAACAACTAAGCCCGTGCGCCACAACTACTGAGCCTGCGCTCTGGAGCCCGTGAACCACAACTACTGAAGCCTGCGTGCCTAGAGCCCGTGCTCCGCAACAAGAGAAGCCTCCGCAATGAGAAGCCTGTGCACCGCAATGAAGAGTAGCCCCTACTCGCCGCAACCAGAGAAAGCCCGCGCGCAGCAACAAAGACCCAACGCAGCCACAAATAAAGAAAATTAATTTATTTTTAAAAGTAAATAAAAAGCCTTAAACAAAGGCCCATTTATGAGCATTCTTCTAATATGGGATGTACATTAATTATAACTGAAAAACAAAACTGATACTTCACAAAGCAATAAATATGTCCTAGGCATAAATAAATACTTTAAGAAATTCTTAAACTATATCAGTGAAACTTTCAATTATAAATCTGATACAAATTCGTAGTTGTCCCAAATTTGCATTTTATGTACACTGCTTCTTTTTCCAGTACAAAATATCAAGTGTCCATGTGGGGATCATTTGCAGCCCACACACATGAAGCCATTTTTGCCTTCTATAACAACTCTGGGATATGCACAAAACACCTATTTTTGCAAAAGAAATTTGTCATATCCTCTCCTGCAACTTCCTGGGACTGGAATCCCAGTTTTCACCCCCTGGGTTAATGTGGTATTTGTCCTTGATCCCAACGAGAAAAACAGCAACAAAAAAGTTTCCATATCTTCATATTCTAATCAGCTAGACCTGCCTACATTTTCCTGACTCAGGACCCCATGCCTACCTCTTGGTGTTCCTCTATCGTTAAACACTTGACAATAAGCGGACGGTGACAGTATGCTAACTCAGCACTGAACTCATCACACAATTGGATCTTGGCCCCTGCTCAGCGGAGCTTGGGAAAACAAGTCAAATACTCTCCTGGGGAAAATATGGACATAAAATAATGTTTTAAATACTGTGCTCCTCTAAACAGTTTTCTTATTTCTTTAGCTTTCATTATCTATTATTGTCAGCATCAAGTACTTGTATTGCTGTAACCTGCGAGACACTGAGGAAAACAGAATAAAGGGTGGAAAATACCAGGATGTATAAGACTGGCCCCTAACTTGTGGAATTTATTACCAAGTTGGGGAAATAAGACGCATGTGCAAGGGGGAAAGCAAACACAACCAGGCAGAATTTGCTAAGCAGCAAATATGCACACATGGAACACGAATGTTCACAGCAGCATTATCCACAAGAGCCAAAGGGTGGAAGCGACCAAGTGTCCATCACAGATGTATGAATGGGGCTTCCGTGGTGGCGCAGTGGTTCAGAGTTCACCTGCTGATGCAGGGGACACGGGTTCGTGCCCCGGTCCGGGAAGATCCCACATGCCGCAGAGCAGCTGCGCCCGTGAGCCATGGCCGCTGAGCCTGCGTGTCCGGAGCCCGTGCTCCGCAACGGGAGAGGCCACAACAGTGAGAGGCCCGAGTACCACCAAAAAAAAAAGAAGGATGAATGGATAAACAACATGTGGTCCATTCATATAATGGAATATTATTCAGCCTCAAAAAGGAATGAAATTCTCACACATGCTACAATGTGGATGAATCACGCTAAGTGAAATAAGGCAGACACAAAAGGACAAATATTCTATGATTCCACTTATATAACGTACCTAGAATAGGCAAACTCATAGTGACAGAAAGTAAAATGGTATTACCAGGGGCTAGGGCAGGGGGTAAGGGGGACTTACTGTCTAATGGGTACTGAGTTTCAGTTAGGGATGATGAAAAAGTTCTGAAAATGGAAAGTGGTGATGGCCACACAACATTGTGAAAATACTTAAAGCCAGTATATTGTGTCCCTAAAAAAAGGTTAGAATAGTAAATTTTATGTTATGTATATTTTACCACAATGAAAAAGTGAAAGAAATATGATACACAGTGTCACAGCAATACAGGGGATGGTGGGTTGTTGGTTTTTTTTTTTTTTAAAGCAAGGAAAAACTGGTTCTTCTAGGAAACAAAAAGGTATGTAAATACAGCTAAAAAGCTCTGATTGTGATATTTTTAAAAGAAATGTGTGAACCTAAAAATACCTTCCCATTTTAAAAGGTAACTTTTCCCCACTCTGGATAAGCTACAAACACCGAAGACATCTGAGGAAAATGCTTCGAGCTCTATTACCAAGCTTAGTCTTCCACAGAATGCTTTAGACGCCAGAAGAAAGTGATTCAAAGGGCAGAAGTTTAGCCAAAAGGGAACTAAGAAATGATGTTCTGGCTAATCTGACATATCTACCATTATGAAAATGTAGTATTTTTTTTCAAGATGGTAAAGGACATACTGTCCCAATCAACTGGAAATCAGACAATACAAAATTTCACTTTTGAACCTATTTTCCTGATCTGCAGAACAGGCCACAGTAGAATCCTCTATGATTGGCAGCTTGTTTACCAATTGTGAACCCCTAGAATGCATGAGGCCTCTTTCATATTTTCTTGTGCTACCCTTTGCACCTGCCACTGTGACATCCCCAGTGCAGCAAGAGCTTCTGGTGACTCTTCTCAAAGAGTGTGGTGGATTGTGCTGATTCATCCACACTTCCTTGCTGAAGATCTCTGGGCTGATCAGCCTCTCCAAAGGGGTGGGCAGGCTATGGCCAAAAAGTGAGAAAATCTAACCGGATGTCACAGGAATCAAATCTACAGATTCAGAACTGAGATTCAAGCAGCTGAGTTCAGCAGAGAGATTCAACCAGATTCAACCAGCTGAGTTCAGCACTGTTTATACTGTACTCAAAGGGGAGACAGAAGCCATTGAATGAAGCAGTGAGTGGGACACACCCATGTGTCCACACACCTGAGCAACGCATTACGTCCTGCTAAGGGGTGCCAGGTAAGCAGAAACCCAGACAACATCCAAGGCTGTTGGGGATTCAGAACCGGGCAAGGGAAGACTAGCCTCTCACCTTGTACCAAGAATAACTCCTCACCCAGCGATAATTTCCTAAGGTCAGAACATACAGAGACCTGCAGATTTATGGTGTCAAGTACTGGTTGTATTTTTGTGCCTAAACTAGAACTATTGTCAATTATTGTCATAAATACAAACTTTCACAAGTAATTATAGAGGGTGAGTTTGGGGCCCAGTGATAAAGCATAATTTAATAACAGGTGTTTCTTTACATCGGTAGATTTTTCCCTAAATGAACTTTACAAATTGTTCCGGTTGGTTTAAAACACAAAGGCCTTTCCAGATATAGAAATGTGAAACTGCCAAGTGTCAACATGGAAAAGGAAACACTCCCCAAATGTTTTAACCTCTTTCTCCTTGAAACTGACACCCTAATTCCTAGAACATGAAAGAGTAAGATTATCTCAATTGATAATATTTTTACTCCTAGTATATAGGTGCCAAAAACTACTAGATCGAAAGTAGAAAGAAATCACTCTCATCTGATATTACAAACCAGTTACTGAAAGTGACACAGTCTTCTATTTTTAAAGCTAAACATCTCGATATTTTAAAAAATCTTTACCAAATGTTCACTCTTTGATTTCATATTTTTCATGATGTAGAAACACTCACAGCCATCCCTGAAATAAACTCTTCACAAGGGTAA